GGTAAGGTCCTTGACCTCATGGACCCTCTCTTCTAGGGAAGAGAGTCAGACAACAGACTGTCAGGCAGAGGTGCATGATGCAGAGAAGATGTCACAGATGCGTCTCTCGGCAAGTAATGCCTCCAAATCCAGCCATTCATTTTTTTTCAGCAGGTATTCAAGGAGCCGTGGAGGCTATAGAGAGCTGCGTGGACTCCAGGTGTTTGCACAAATCTTTCCTCTCCCGTCCTCCCTAAACAAGCCATCTTGTGTTCAACAGAATGATCCGGGGCGGTTAATTTTGAGCCAGACTCATTTAGCATGGCAATGTCCACCAGGCGTGGCCACCCAGACAAATGATTTCCGGCAAACGCATTACACGAGTGCATCCTGTGAGGGTACAGCTGAGTGGCAGTTGGGGGAGGAATTTCCAGCACGTGCCGGCCCCTGAAAGGAAATAAGGGGACGTCGGGCTTCACGCTGCCCCAGCCTGTCTGCCCCCCTTCGCGTCCACAGTTCTTGTACGATTTCCCTGTAGAGTATCCTTTGTTGGTTTTGAGTAGGGATAACCTATCTGGAGTGAAAATCCTGTGCTGTTTGGTGAGCTGTAAGTTGACTCTCACTGAGTTTTTTAGAACAATATTCATGGAAAAATATATTTAGGCCGTTTCCAAAATGGAGATTATTGATCCAATTACGCAGATGGATGTGGCAACCAGCAGATGTCCCTGATTCTTCTTCCTCTCTCTTTGTTTTCTGAGAGAGTTGGAAGTTGGCGCAGAAGAGGCGCTCTGATCCAAGTGGATAAGTCAGTCACTGAGACAGGCTATTCTGTGTCTGTGGAAGAAGACAAGAAGCTTTCCTTTTGAGGGGATGATGGGCAGTGAGCAGAGGTGGGGTGGCTGAGTTTTCTAGATCCTACGATTTGAAAATCAGGGACTCAAAGGAAGTCTGTCCTTCCTGAGTAATTGAATCCCCACTACGCTGAACTTCCTCCGGGGTTTCAACTTTCACCCCGGGGCCAGGCTCTGAGGAGGGAGGACAAAGGAGGGTCGGCCCCTCCTCTGGGGAGGGAGGAAGTAGGTGGGCAGTGTGGGGCGCCCGGCCCCGTGTGGCCGCTTCTCTGCTTCCTGGGCAGAGGAGCCGGGTGTCTGGTTTCTCCTTTTCCTCTGGCCCTATGCCTTTGTGGGCCTCTCGCTGGTCTTTGTGCGCATCGGTGTCAGCCACACAAAGTTTTATTTTGTGAAAAGAGGGGGCACCCAAGGCGATGTTGGGTTTGGCAGCAATCCGTGAATGTTATTCACCTGCTCTGTCCGTGTGACGCGAACGCATCTTATTAGACTGGAGGCCACCAGCGTGGGATTTGGGATGTTGATTCTCCAAGAACCAGGAAAACAATAACGCCGGGAGTGCTGGGAGAATGCTCCAAATGCTTCCAAAGATCCAGCTTTTTAGGCGTCCCCAGTCACGAAGGGGTACCCACTTTCAAGTACCTCCTCACGAACAAACGGTTGCCCTAGGAAACCGTCCTGTGTGGTCCTTGGTTGACCCAGTCCGATACTTAAAGATGAAAAATTGTATTTTGTTTTATAATATTTTATAGGGGCACCTAGGTGGCTCAGTCGGTTGAGCATCCGACTCTTGATCTCGGCTCAGGTCACGGTCTCGTGGTTCGTGAGTTTGAGTCCCACATTGGGCTCCACGCTGATGGCACAGAGCCTGCTTGGGATCCTCTCCCCCTCCCCCCCGCCCCTCCCCTGCTCGTGCTCTCTCTCCCTCTCTCAAAATAAACTTAAAACCATACATTATGATATTTTATATGTTTTACTTGTCACTAACGTAAGAACTTACCACTTTCTCATTTAGTCTGAATTAGGCTCACCTTACGGTCTGGCTATATCTTTTTCATTTAAAAGGCAATGTAGTTATTTGCTGGTGGCAAATCAAGTGATAAAGATAAAATACTAATGTATACGATTTTTAAAAAGTGGAAAGCAGCTACCCCTCTCCGAATCATTGCCCGAAGTTAACCATGGTTTATTGCTCTAGCTGTGTGGCCTTGGCCAGACTTCCCGACTCCTGGGCCTCGGTTCCTTCATCTGTAAAGGGGGGGTGATATTAGTCCTAATCCCATAGGGTTCTTGTGGGGATTAAGTACAATGTCTGACGTGTGTTCTCGCTAAACCAATATTAGCTACCGTTGTCAGTAGTATGTACTTTCTGTATGCATCGGTGCTGACGCTGCGTCTTTCCTAGCTTCAGACCTTTAACCGTGGGGCCAGGCCTCAGTGAGCAGTATTTTGCCAACGGCATTTTCACTCAGGATAGGGCCCGCGTGAGTGAGGAAGCCTGGCCTTTGATTTGGTTTTCTTCAGCGGGATTCAGTTTGGTTCGATTTCCTTCATGGCTTCTAAGAAATGCTAGGCTTTCTTGAGTAGGAGAGGGAAAGAATTGGAACGGGCTTCTTGCTCCCAGGAGGGACCTGACCGATAAGGTCATTGCTTCTCTTGCAAGCCCCTGGACCCTCAATTTGGGTGCCGTCGCCCAGAGGCTGCTCTCCTACCTGGGAATGTGATGGGAGGATTTATGGCTGAAAGAATAGCTCTGACTGACTTCGATGGAAGAGGGAACCAAGATCTTCTATTAGATGAGTGGATGGAAAATCAGTTGGGTTTTTAGTTTAGTTTTCTTTTCTTTTCTTTTCTTTTTTTTTTTTTTTTTAATTTTTTTTCAACGTTTTTTATTTATTTTTGGGACAGAGAGAGACAGAGCGTGAACGGGGGAGGGGCAGAGAGAGAGGGAGACACAGAATCGGAAACAGGCTCCAGGCTCCGAGCCATCAGCCCAGAGCCTGACGCGGGCTCGAACTCACGGACCGCGAAATCGTGACCTGGCTGAAGCCGGACGCTTAAGCGACTGCGCCACCCAGGCGCCCCTTCTTTTTTTTTTTTTAATGAAGCGGGGAAAAGAGCGAGTGTGTTGGTTTTGCCAGTTTGCTCTGAAAACCAGAGTAAGAGTGTATCCGTGTGGTTGTTTGTACGCAGGGAGCAGAAGAAATCACCTCTGAGGCATCTGACAAAAGGCATGAGCAGACCGTGCATGCTTTTTTGTCTGCCTTCAAAACCGGGGGTATTTGTTCGATAACTTGATGTTCGAAGTCCAGGGAAAGAGTCCAAGAACCTGTCTCCTTGTCCCGGTTCTGCCATGTGTGGCCCGGAACGAGTTACTTAACCTCTCTGTGCCCCAGGTGTGTCCTCTATTTAAGAAAATGAGGCTGGAAGTCCCTGCCCTCCAGAGCTATTTTGGGGGAATGAGAGATGTGATAACGGGTCACGCTGTCGCGTTGTTGGCTGCACTGCGGGCGGCTGCTGGAGAGTCAGAAGACTGGCCACCGCCCTCGAGGGACTTCGAGCCAGCGAGAACTCAAAGCACACGTGTAAAAAGCTGCCTGAACGCTTACGAAGGAAAAAGATAAACCCAGAGTCACCACAAGAGCATTTGATAATAATAAGATAGATGCCTGAGAGAAAAATGTGGCTAGAGACCCACAGGGAGTTGACAGAGTGACAGGATAAGGTGTCAGTTGCTTTTTTTCAGTAAAGAGATCAGGTTCTCCATTTTAGCCACACCCCCCGGGCCACCTTCTGTGAGCAAACACAGCCATTGACTTGAGGTCCCAGAGTGCCCCTAATGTCGCTAGACCCCTGATCCCAGGAGAAGCCATGACCTCCTTAGCTCAGCCCTCTAATCGGCCCTGCCTGTCCATCAGGACTTGGGAAGCTGGGCTGAGATGCCATAAACAAAGCACTGCGACACCAGGGAGACGCGTGACGCCACTGCTCTGCCGCCAAGATGGCAGAGTAGCCCTGAAATAAATCTCTTCACTGTACTGTAGGCTCTATGCAGGCTTATTAGGTCTCTTTCCCGAACTCTCTGAGGTTCACAGGACAGGGAACGGTAACAGGATTTCTCTCTTAAGTTCTTAAGTGACTTGCCTGGGGTCACCTTGTTTATTAGTGAATCGTAGGGGGCGGGGGTGGGGTGGGCGTACATGGGGGATTTCCTAACACCCAGGCCAGTGTGGATTAAGCTGTTGAAGCTTCTAGGGGGAAGATACAAATACAGCGGCAGATATCAGCTTATCGATTAATTAATTTCTGCAGCAACTGCAAATCTGTGTTAAAGAATGCACTTTGTTTTTCACTTAATAATAGCGATGAGCTGCCTCTCACGTGCTTCTTTACCTTCTTCCAAAAACAAACTACCAAGTTGGTCACTGTCCAGTTCGTTGGAACTGGAGTCAGTTGAACGAGTACCTGAGTTAATTGTTGAACTGAGGAGTATGAAAACCACGTACCACTGCCAAGCACGAAACCTCCCTTCCCTTCCCTACCAGGTCTGCTGCTCTGAGGGTAGGGCCAGGACCCCTGAGGTTCAAGTCCAGCAAAAAATCAGTTCCTTGGCCACGTACTAAAAGCTTGGGAACCGATTTGTTAATTATTCTTTTCCTTTTGTGTCATTTTTTCAAGATAAACTTACTTGGGCCAGCCTCCTGGAAAACCTTTTAAAATGCTAATCGCGCAGTTGTGTGAATAATGTAAAAATGAGTCATGTGCTACACTCAGCACTTGACTAATTAACAAGCAGTAAATGAACCCTTGCCTAGCAAATTCTGTACCCGCCTGTGTGAATGGCAGGGAGCTTCATGGAGCCACAGTTGGAAGAGTTTGGCTTAAGTAAATGGGTTCTTATAGGAATTGGCCCGTGGAAATCAGGAATCGTTAGGCATAGCACTATCTTTTCCCAAAATTGAACACCATTGGCGGATTCCATTCGGGGAATGTTCGTTGAGCCCCTGTAGGGCTTTGTGATAGGCCCGGGGAACAGGATACAAAGGTGAATTAAATGCGAAGGATGCTCCTAAAAGTTAATAATCTGGTGAAAGACAGAGGTGAATAATCAAAGACAGGAGTGGGATGCTTTAGACCACAAGGACAGAATATCCAATTAATGGTGGCTTACGTGATAACGATATTTAATTATCTCACAAGATCTAATGTCTGAAGGTAGGCGGTTCTAGGGTTGATTTAGTAGCTGGACGTTGTTGTTCACACCAGCTTCCTCCCACGCTTTTGCTCTGCCGTCCTCATCGTGTTGGCTTTTTGTCCTTAGGCTTGTGATGGTCTTGTTCCAACTATCATATTCTCCAACAACAGAGTTCACAAGTAGGAAGCAAGGCAGGGGCAGTAGAAAGCCATGCCCCACTCACCTGCCATTCACCAAAACAAGTCACACGGCCACACCGAGACGCGAGGCTGGGGTGCTGGAAAGCCACGCTGTCTAGACAGCCACTTTCCATCATCAGCCCCGTCCCTATGATCCCTATGGAAGGGAAGGGATTAAAAAATGTGCAGGGCAATTAGACATCTCTGCCACACAATGCAGAAAGTGCTCATAATGCAGTAAGTACAGATACTCACAGAGTACAGAGACAGTTAATTCTGCCTTGAAAAATGATGGGAGGTTTTGTAGAGGACCTGACATTTTAGCTGAGTCACCAGGCGGATGAGGGATGAAATCCAAACAGGAAACCCGGTGCGTAAAGCCAGAGTGGCATGAGAGAGCTTGTCGGGGTTTTGTGCTGTTTGTATTTTCTTGGCCTCTTTACCCCATCTTTTGGTCAAACCCATAGCTAGCAAGTCACTTAACTCCTCGGGGTCCTAGAGTCCTCATCTGTGTAAAGGACGCAGTTGGATTGCACAGCTGTAAAAAGGTCTGCAAGGTTTTCTCACTCATCCCGTCTCTCCTTCACAGCAGTTCAAGTAGACATTTCTTACACAGATAGCACAGGAATTCTTTAATCTTCTCTCCTCGATAGAAGCACATTTTGAAACATTTCTCAGAGAGGCAGTGTGGCGTCCTCAGCAGAGCATGAGACTGGGGATCACGGATCTGAACTTGAAGCCTTACTTTGTCATTCACTTGCTGTGTGTCTTCCGGAAGACACTTAAGCTCTCTATAGCTCAGTATCCTCGTCTGTAAAAGGGAGGTAATGGCATTTATCTGCACGGCTCTTTGGAAGACAGTGATAATTGTCATTAATGTGCAGCACAATGGTAGATACTTATCAGGTTCTCGGTAACTCACAAATGAAGAGATAAAAGTGGCCAATACATAAAGTTTGAAATGTTCAGTGAGGCATAACTGTGTGTGTGTGTGTGTGTGTGTGTGTGTGTGTGTGTATGTGTGTGTGTGTGTGTATTAAATGGACCTGGACTTTTAAAATCAGTAATCCCCGGTGTGGGCAGTGTGGATGGCACAGAGACTTTCAGGTAGTGCTGATGAGACTATGAACTGATAATGACATTTCCGGGGGACAGTGTGGCCATTGGAATGTGTCTTTTAGAAATGTTCACGCCCTTTGACCCAGCAATTCAAAGTCTAAGAATCTATGCTGGGTAGATAATTGATGATGTGAACATGGGGTATAATTAGTATAAAGTTATTCATCATGATGGTATTGGAGTAAAAGGTATTGGGATCAGCACAAATAACCAACAGTAGACAAGTCATTAAGCGAATTAAGCTTGACTCAGATATTTTAATATTACCCAGATATTAAGAATCCGGTTTGGGGAGGATATTTGATGATGTAGGGAAAATGATCACGATAGAATATTTATGTGAAAAAAGCAGCCTACGAAACAGTATGTACAACATGGTCCCAGTTTTGTAACAGTAAATAACTATCATGCTTAGAAAAGTCACTGGAAGGTAAAACACCAAAATGTGAAAATGATTATCTCTGGGTACTGGAAACACAGGGGGGTTTTATCTTCTTCGGTGCTGCTCTGAATTCTACAGGTTATCTTGCATTGTACCTGTAATGATATGGAAAAACACTTCCAAAATTAAGAGAAAATATCAGGTTAGAAAGATTACCCAAAAAATCCGGATGCATCAACTCCAATCAACTTGTACGAATACTCACACATCCCACAAGAAAAAGAAGGTTGGAAGGAAATATGTCCAAATCTATTCAGTTATTTTCTCTGGTTCGTGGAATGATGGATTGTTGCCATGTTCTTCTTTATACTAGTTTGTGTTTTCCGCCTTTTCCATGTTTGGCATATGTTATTTTTATGAGCAGAAAAAGAAAGCTACCACCACAGAAAGCCCACAACAAGACGTCGTCCTGAGTGCTGCGTTACACATGGCCCCCAGTGCTGGCAGCCACCAATAAAACCAGTAAGTCTGAAGGCCCCGGCTTCTCTTGCCCCACAGCTAGGAATTCATTCCACCGGTGTGGAGAACTGGTACCCACGTTGACCACCTCTGCCTCCTGAATGCACCAAGTGCCATGTTGCAAAAGGCAGAGGGGCAAAGCCAGAGGTGCTGGTGATGGGGCAGATGAGTACATTTTGCAGGTGTCAGAAATCACAATAGAACCTGTCCTCTATGCCGCAGGGACTGCAGGGCAAGCCTGCTTTTTATGAACGCGTGCTTGCTGATCCAGTAGGTGCCTCTGGCTGGATGCATAGAGCTCTCTGGTGGCCAAGAGGTGTCAACGCAGCAATGTTTGTACCTCAGAACCAAGTCCAAGTTCTACTAGCCAAACCAGAATGTTCAGACACTGCTGCACACTTGCAGATTAAAGTCGAAGACCCCGTAACAGGTAGGAAAACATCGGTCAGCACTATTCCCATAGTATCTCTAACAAAGAAGGAATCTTCCGTGTCTACCAGCTGGGGTGGGTACCCGCTCTGCCTTCACGCCCGTGTCAAAGGCACTCGATCCTGCTTGGTTTTGTAATAACTGTTTATTAAATTGTGAGCCATAGCAACTACTGTGTGAGCCTTGATCACGTTGCTTGTCTCACAAGCCCATACTGTGGGAAAGTGTCCTTGTGGGTTGTTTTCCAAGCGGGTCTGGTCTTCATGGCATCATAGAATGTTACAGCTGGAAGGAGCCTTAGAAACAAAGAGACTGAGCTCCAGTAAAGCCAAGTGGCTTAGAGAAATGATTCATTACTGGCTGATCTAAGAATGGAACCCATTCCAACCTTGAGAATTTCGTCCAGCAGCCTGCCCTATTTCCCTCAGGCTGCCTTCATCCCTCAGGTGGCTGACTTGAAACCAACACTAACGCTTCAGATTCTCATTGTTCCTGGGTAGTCTTGTATTTCTCTGTGTTGGCATCACACTGTGTGTGTGTGTGTGTGTGTAGCTATGTATGATCATTAGTCTATGTATGTAACTGTCACTGTATTCCTATTATATCTCTATCATTTGATTTGGGCATATTCCATACCCTCTGCTGTATTATAAATTCCTTGAAGATAATCTTCTGTGTCTTTTGTATTCCAACATAATACTCTCTAGAGGTGTTGGGACCATTGACACAATTCATGTTACTTTCTTTGTAAGCCATGAATGAAAATAATGTCTGAATCATTTGGGTCCTTAGACTCAGGACTTTGTTTATAGGATATTGTTCTCTATTTAACTTCTGTATTGGCACTGGCTTTTAGAGAGGCCTGAAGATTAGTGGAAATTTACCCCCTGGGCATTCTAGAATGTTCCACTGAGAGGTAATTAAGGGGAAGAAAAGGAACAACTTGTACTCCCCAATTGGCGAGCCATTTATTTGGTTATATATTTATTTCTGCTAGAGCAAAAGTGCTTTCAATTTTATTGCACTCTAACATCGCCTCAATAATCACCAGGGTAGCATAGTGATGGTACCTTAGAACTTTGCTGCACAATTGGTAATATGAGGATAAGCTCTGAAATGCTCTCTGCAGTCAATTTGAATATTCTATCATTTTATTCGTTCTGACAGTGAATTTTTAAGAAAAGAGAGAAATACACATAAGAAATCGTTTAAAGTGGACCTTGTTGGGGGGTTGGTGCTTCGGTGGCTCAGTTGGTTAAACGCCCAATTTCATGCTCAGGTCATATTTTTATATAGTTCATGGTTTGACCCCACGTTGGGCTATGTGCTGACAGCTCGGCACCTGGAGCCTGCTTTGGATTCTGTGTCTCCCTCTCTCTCTGCCCCTCCCCCACCCATTCTCTGTCTCTGTCTCTCTCTCAAAAATAAACAAACATTAAAAAAAATTTTTTAAGTGGGCCTTGGGATGTGCTGTGCTAGGAAAAGAAATAAAGACCAGCATAGTGAGGGGTTTGGAGCCAGAGCTATAGGGTTTGATTTTTGGCATGTCCAACCTAGGAGGAAGAAAATGGATAGGGGTGTAAATGGGGCAGATGGGCCTTAGATGGTTGTTGAGTATGTGTGATGAGTGTGTAGAGTTTCATTGTAAAGTCCTATCTACTTTAGGGGTTATTTAGAAATGCTCCATTAGAACCTTAATTCCTCTCTTCAAAAAAAAAAAATAAGGAAATTCTTAAACTTGGCCAAGGTCATTAAACAAATAAATGGAAAAAAACCAACATAGTTAATACAAGACTATGCTTATTAAAACACAAAGGTTATAATGAGCACAGACCTTGAAGTAGGACACGGGTTTAAATCACATCTCTTACTCCATTTGTAACCTTGGGTGTCTTTGACCTTCTGTTTCCTCAGCTCTGAAAGAAGGATATAAGACCCACCTTCCAGAGTTGTTGGGGCCATGAGGAACGAATATGTGTCAAGCACCTAGAACTCTACCTGCCCTTGGTAGACATTTCCTCAAAGTAGTTCCTGCTTTTTTTTATATTATTAGTTTACTATTTATTATTAATATCCTAAATGGATTAAGAATCCCAATGGCTCACTGGGATTAAGAATCCCAGTAGGCTCACTGGGAGGGAACATGTTCGGGAGCAGTCATTCCTTTGGTCCTCAGGCAAACAGGAGCTCCCAGGCCACATGAAGAGGGCCAGCCCACAAGTCCCAATGTTTCGGAACTTGATTTGGGGGCCTCTTCCAGGCAGCAGCAGCAACCTAATGGGAGAGAACGTCCCATCAAATCCCAAGGGATACCTAGTTTCATTGGGTGTGGGAGTGCAAGGATCCTTTACACAGGAAGGACTTCTAAAACAAATCACTCCTCAGTGTACAACTCACCCCCAAGTCTCCTGCTTCCTCCTCTATCCCAGTGTTCCTCAATTCCCAGTGAGAGTGGCCTGTATCTTTCACCGGCAATTCACAGTGAGCTTCTCCCATGGAGTCTGATTTGCTTCTGTATCCCCAATACATGGCTCACAAGGAGGACTGAGGGGTTTTTTTTGATGGATGGACGGGAGGAAGGGTGGATGAGTGGGTGGGTGGGAGGGTGGATGGATGACAGAAACTGACCTGAGGTGGGATGCTTATGTATCTCTGTGTTCCAACAGTAGGGTTTTGCTTTTTAGTCTTTTTAAGCATCTTGTTGACCTTTTAAGAAAATTCCCACTAATAACCTACTGTATCCCAGATAGTCTACCAGTGAGCACCTGTTGTATACCAATGAGCATCTAGTTTTTATATCATTTAATCCTCACAACACTCTGTGAGGTAGGCCTTGTTAATACCATTTTACAGATGGAGAAATCCACGATCAGAAAGGTTGAAGAACTTGCCCAAGTTCACGTACCATTTATAGTCAAGTTCTTTCCTGTATGTCATGCAATGCAGGCATACCTATCGCACAAACCGTTCATACCAGTGTAGAAGTGAGGAAGAGAGTCACTAACCCAATACATTTCTGAGAGGCAAGGGTCACTATTCAGAAGAAAATCTGACGGCAAAAGGGAGTTTTCACTTGGATATACATTGGAGGGTGGGTGGCAGATGAGGGGAGGGTGTGGATCCATGGAGGGAGGAAAGAAGTAGCAGGCACTCCTGCAATCGCAGGCTTCTCCTCCAAAGGGAACTCAGTCACGGGTAAGAAGGAGTGAGGCGGGTTGTTCTGTCTCCGTTCTGCTTGGGGCATCCCTGGGATCAATCCACCCCACCTGTCCACAGGACAACTTCCGCTAAAAAATTCACTGGAGACAGTGAAAGGAGACCAAATGTTTTGGCTGTCCTACCGTCTTTGCTCAGGTTCAGAAAAAGAACAGGAGAAGAAACCGAGACGTCGATTCCTGTGCACATGCTTCATTGAGGGAGTGCTCTCAGGAAAAGGGGAGTCAGGGAAGCAGGCCAGGGCAAGGGGGAAAGACCTAAGTCTGTCTGTGGTCTCAGGTAGACACTGGCTTTCGACTCATCTCACACAGGAGCAGGAATTGCACCAGAGTTGATCCCACCTTGAAGCTAGGGGACCGGCCTTCTGTATCACTGAATCAGTCAGTTATTAGCTATGGGGCTGCCCTTGGGGAAGGGAGCCTAACCTTCTGGGCTAGGTAATTCCCACTGACCCAGGGCATCTCTCCAGAGAAGGAGCGACTGTTGGGTGCTGTTAACAGCCAATACTATAGCATCTGGGGGAGGGGATCCCCACCCAGTTAAGAGGCCGTGGGTAGGGCATCAACAGTATCCACTGTCCCCACCAAACTACCATCTAGGCCCCTGCTGGCGTGGCATGTATGCAAAATTTCTGCCTGGATTTTGGCCACTGCCCTTCCCATCCGGATGCAGACTGACTTGATGAGTGGAGATAGTCCAACTGAAGTTTCCTTCTTTGAAGGAGAGGGGACACCAAGCAGGGATGCTTCCCATGAGCTTGCCAGTCTAGAGACTTTCCCCACTCATTCTTTGTTGGCCGTCTACTGCTGGGGTCCCCCTCTGACTCAGTCAAAACTTAACATTCTTGGTAAAGTGTAGCCTAAGGTTTTTACTTTAATGGCAATTATCATGCAACAGCTCCCTTTGATGTAGGACAGCCAACATCATGACATCTAGGTTATATTTTCTGTCCTCTGTCCCCAAGTTTTAGTTGTCGTCTTAGTTCACATGTCCCCCCTTCCCGCTAAACTCCCATCCAACACTTCCTTCTCCAGTCCTGTTAATACTTAACCTGAGGTCAAGGTTTCTTTGGGTGAAGAACAATGAAAAAGCCATCAAGCTGGCTTTGAGTGCTAAGGGAGTGAAACCTGGTTATGTGTCTAATTTGAGACATTCCTAAGAGTAGGCTTTTCTTTATGGTCAAGATCGAAAGAAATGAACGGATGTGAGCTTTTTTTTTCTTGCCTTACACATTAAGGATTAGTCATAGGATCATGTTGAAATTATTCGATCCAGAAATAAGTGATTAACATTTAACTTTCTTAATGGGCAATTACTCAACAGCTATGCCAGTGGGTAAATATTTACTCATCATCTATTCCAAGGAGTGAATGTTAACTTGAGTCAAACAGTTACTTGTGTTGGTTCTTTAATAATGGCAAAGTGAATTTTATGTAGCAGTAAGAGCTCCAATTTCCTGCCAAGTAAGAATTGACTGAAGGATGTTCAGAGCTCTGAGCTGGGCTTAAATTACAGATAATTTACTCACCTACTCACCCACTCAAAGCAAAAAACAAAAAAAAAAAAAAACAAAAAACAAAAACGCACCACCACCAACAAAAAACACTGGTGATCTGTTATACTCACCACTATGTATTGAAATCTGGCAGCCCCGAATCTCAGAAAGTCAAATAAAATAAATCAACTCCGTTTCTCAGTCCGTAGGTCTGTCAGCCTCTGTTTACCACAAAGCTGCCTGTTTCTTGTCATTAATTCAGATACCCTCAACGTGCCCCATGGACACACAGAGCATATGGCCTGAAGACTCAGTTAAGAGAAAATCGGGTACCATCTCTGAGAGTTTCAGTTCACTTCCAACCAGCATGTTTTTACCAACAGGCAGGAAGTCGATTTAAAAGTTGAAACATGAACCAAGGTTGGAGGTTGAGGGTCAGAATATGGGACGTGGATGCAAATACTTCAGGTGTGGTCTACACGCAGACAGGTCAAAGATGTTTTCCATGGGGAACCAGTGAGAGAGAGGGCTGGCGTTGTCCAGGCTTGTAGAAAGAAGTTTGAGAGGCTGGAACTTGGCATGTGCATTAGGGCAGGCTAACTGCTGTATGAACCGCCCCAAGTCTCAGGCCTTCACACAAATTAAGTTTATTTCTTGCTCATGTCACATTCCAAGAGGAGGGGACCTGTGTTCTGCAGGCGTTCAGAAACGCAAACTCCTTCCGGCAGATGAGGCCAAAACACACACACACACACACACACACACACACACACACACACACCCCCAAAAACCAAAAAACCCAAAACCATAGAGCATGGAGAATAGCGTGGCAAGTTTGATGGGCACCTCCATAGTCTGGCCGGTGCTGCCACATGACCCCACAAGCGTGCAAAGGAGGCTGGGAAATCTGTGTGCCCAAGACATGGAAGGATATGGTTTCGTGTCGAGCTAGCCGGTCTGCCACCCGTGGCTCGGGGCACGCGACACTCTTCGTCTGTTCTTCGGCGAGCGTGTGGAAAAGAGCTAGTGAAGGAGCAACAAAGAAGACAGGCAGGAAGCTAGTTAAAAGTCAGTGGGGCTACTTCGGGG